ATAAGGCTGCAACATAAAATGTGGGGAAAAGTAAAGGGTCTGAATACTCTCGGACATCACAGTTCAGTCTCATGTATATCGCAAAACTCACCGTCATACTTATGACCAATAACGTGACCATTAAGAAATTAAAACAATGCACAGTTCAGGAAGCGCAAAATATAATGAGTATATGTCTGCTTTATATTACTTAATTTCCCTTAATATTAACTAAACTAACTAACAATATAACTAATGAGTTATACATTTTACTTACAAACAGCATTGTTTTATTTGTTTTTAATTTGCATATTTTAGACACAGTTATCTCATTTCTACATCTTAGTACCATATTGTCATGTTCTTTTATAATTATAGTATGGAGTAATAAAAGACAATGCAAGTCACAAGCATTTTAAGTCAGTGATAGATAATACCTTTCAACATACGTTTCAGCACACGGTTTTCAACGACCACTGTTATCTTCAGAACAGGGGCGTAGATTACGCGGGGGACGCGGGGGACATGTCCCCCCCACTTTTTAACTTCAATAAATAAAATGACACAGGTCCATTCCAAGTACTCTGCAAATTAAAAAAGGCATTTTTCATGTCTTACAATGTCTTGACATGTCTTGACACTTGTCAATGTCAAAAACAAAATGTTGTATGTCTTCTAAGTTTAGCTATTATATGGCTATCACTTATCACTAAGTTAAATATGATCCTGTTGGATCTAGGAAATGTAAAATACATTAATCACCAACCCAGGCCAAGATCTCCAAGCTAAACCTTACAAGAAATATCTGTCCTGACAAATTTGAGCTTTCCCACAACAAATCTACTTTTTAAAAAAATAATTAAAATAAAGACAGCATACCTTTGTCCCTTTCCAATATGACTAGATGAGCATAAATCACTACGATGATATCCAGGACTGTTATTGTTATTATCCACAATATTGTTATCCATCTGCGGCGAAGAACTGTGAATGTAAAGATGACCATCTGCTTTAGCTTTCACAAGTCACATACAAGAACTGAACTCAGATCTGACATGGATCAATTTAGAAAAGTCAACATGAAATCAAAATTTAACCTATATAATGTTCTTAATGCATGTAGTTGATTTTACTGTGAACAATTCACTTTTCACAATACAATCAACAACCAATGGATAAAATCAAGTCATGCCCAATATTATTATTCTTTTTTCTTTTTTTTTTTGGTTTGATAGTAGTCTCATTTAGACAAATGTCACAATATGGTAGTAAAGTGAACAGCAGAAGCTTCAGTTTCATGCTGACTTTAAATCACTTTTAAATAAACATCATGCATTAAGCAGGATGTATTTCTATTTATATACAGTAATAGTCAAAATCATCACAAATTTATGCATGCCAATTATTATAGGATTTACTCTTTCCAAACCTATACAAACACAATAATGATCAGAATGTACTTCAAAATGTACTTACATTTCAATCTTGCTTGCAGACCAGTTAAAAGTGGTATACAGAACAGCAACAGTGATGAAACAATTGGCACAGTAAAGAAAAACACTAACATAAGAGAATAACAGTCCATTAGTTTCCCATTCAAACAAAACAGTCAATAATGTGTCATTAAAACACATCATATGATTGCTCTGAATGTTTAAATGTTAAAATCACTGAAATAAGAGTCTCAAAGGTGTTTTTCTTTAGTCTGCATATTGATGTTAACATATCAATCTACAAGTACAGTAGTTGTACATCAAGGTAAAATTGCCTGAACTACAAACAACTGGGTTTTTACAACAGAAAAAAATGTGTTTATCAGTTTAATAAATTATGAAGGGATCAGTAATCATACCTACAGAGGGAATTCCAAATAACCACATCAACTGGCCCAATTGGAAAATAGACAACATACAAAGTGCGTCATTAAAAACTAAAAAAAAAAAGATCGAAAGCAAGTATGAATGGAAGAATTCGAAATACAGGAATCAAATACAGACTATCATGGTGTGAGTTAACTGTGGTCTGCTGATTGGTCAACTTAAATGTCTCCAGTCTCTTTTGGCTTAGTCGCATGATGTTATCCACCAGTTCTATTCTCATGACACTGGACAGTATCATCACTGTGGACATGACAAATGTCCAGTCAAGGCTAAAATTCCTGCATAAAATCTTAACCTGCAGCAGCTTTGAATGCTTTTATAACAGAGTGTGGAGCACTACATTTAGGTCACACAAAGATGATAACATTAGCAATGCTCTCCCACATATACAGTATAATTTACAATATAATTTGTTTGTAACTGTGCTTTTTCCTTTTGTTGGTTAAGTAGTAGAGGGTGGTAACAGTGAGTAAAATTATACATTTTACGTTTGCATTTATTTATTTTTTCCCTTAAGCTTTTTTCTTTTATGTTTGTGCTTTATCAACACTCAGTAACAGTGGTTTATCTAAAGCTAATAGTACTATCAAACATTAACACACACTTAGACCTAAAAGGAAAGTGTTTGGCTCTACTGTATGCATATGATTATAATTTTTGGTATTTGTAGAATAAAACAAAAATCAAGAGTTTTGTTAATTTACATTTATCAACTTAATAAATCTATGCTTACTTAGCCTGCCACTCAAATCATACAGAAACTCTTACCTCCACTCAGGATGATACAGAACAGCACAATAAATCCAAAGCACATTCCTAAGAATATACGGCGTACATAGTTTGTATCATGTGCACTAATTCTCCAGCCATATGCAAAAATAACTATAGAAACAGATAAAAAAAATCAAATGTCACACAAAATGCATGGTGTTCTGTGCAAGAACAGAACATATGTAAACATGTAGTGAACTGAACAGTGTTTGTCAAACAATTGTAATTGAGGCCATACCAACTTAATCATTATGATATTTAAGGAAAGTTAGGGCAACAGTGCAATAAAGTATAAATTATAAAAGGATGTAATCTTATTATTTTGAAATGAAGAATATAATAGACACTTGTAAGCACTGTCTGTCTTTCAGTCAGTTTGAGTAATCAGGGTTGCTGACTTCAGGGTTCCTGTTTACAGGATTTTAGAGAAGGGGTGGGGTAAGATTTAATGGCTGAAATCTGGACAGGTCTACTGAAAGTTAGCAAAACAGGTAATATTTCATAAAGCACTTTAAATGTCAGAATAATGAACATGGCTTCTGTTGTGTGAAATGTGGATTTACGCACCTGAATAAACAATGACTGTAAGAACAGCAAGTTCTCTTGTTATTCTGAAAAACCTGATCCATGATTTATGATTGTCTGTGGAAAGAAAGGGTTGAATACATAAAATTACTGAAGCATGTTTGTGCATCACTGTGCAGATGCCAAATGAGTCCCACAGATACTTTATAACTAGATTTTTTTAGACATGCATTCAAAATAAAATAAAACCATTTTAAATACTCAACATACTCACACTTTTCAGTTTACAAAAGCATATTTTTATTACCTTATTTTTCAAACAAGACTTACGGTTTTACTGAATGTATTACAAATCTGTTCCATTGCTTGTGCTTGTACTCTGCATTTTGGGTTAGGTTGTGGGTGGGACAAAGTGTTTTTTTTTTTCACCAAAAACGTATTGGGTTACTTGTGTAACCATGGTTCCCTGAGGGGAACTTCGAACTGCGTCCTCTAGGGGTATATACCAAGAGGAGTGGGTCCCGGGCGGAACCGGGGTTTTAGACCACTCAGAAAAAGAGAACGAAGCTGACACCATTTGAATGGGACCCAGGGTACCGGGGTGTTACCCCAGTCTAAACAAAAGGAACGAAGACAGCACGCGTAACCCTTACCTTCACAGGATAGAAGGTTACGCACACACAGCCGTCTCAGTCCGTCCTCAGTATACAGATATCATGATATTTGGATCGTACTCACCCCCATGATTTCTGCGCTGGAGCTCTGCTCCGAGGCTCTTATGACCGGATCATGCTGCAGGTACCTTTATACATTCAAACAGGGTAGATGTTGTACCCCCTGCGGGAGAGAGTGAACACCTAGGTATTACTCTGACCCGGACGAAAGCGCTGGTGCCTTGCC